TAGGGTGCCCAGTCGGGCCACCTAGGAATAGGGCTGTGGCAGAACTGGTTCAAGAAGTGCCTGCTCAGGGCTGGGAGAGGAGGGGCTCCATGTGGCACAAAGAGGTAGGAGAGTTGAGGGCAGGGGCTGCGGAGCTGCAGAGGGATCCAGCAGAGCTGGGGGAGGAGATGTGGAAGCAGCGAGGGGGAACAGGGAAGGGAGAGGGAGGTGGCGGGGAGGGGGCCACAGCTGCGGGAGGGCAGATCCGTGGGGACAGTGGGGTGGGCGGGGGTTGGAGAGAGGCCCTTCTGGACCCTGAGGACCCGTCCCAGACCCTCCCAGCTCAGCCCTTGGGAAATAGAGCGGCTTGCCCAGGGCCTCTCTCCAGTCCTGCATGGCCACCGGGCTGTGTGGTGGACAGGTGTGTTGATGGTGGCGTAAGGTGTGCTCTTCATCCCATGCAAGGGTCAGCAGTGCAGGCGTGGGCTCAGGAGGGCTTTAGGGTGTGTGCTCAGTGGACATGGATGCCTGAGGCCCAGGTGGGGAATGGCCACGTGTGGCCTGCTTGTGGCGACCGCCCTTTATCCAAGCTTCACCTCTTGAGGCTGTTGTTCCGGGTGAATCACAGCCCCTCTGCCAGGACAGGCAGCTGGTTGGACCCCCAGAGAGGACCCACAGGCAGCTTGCTTGAGTTGGGGGATGTGTGGGAAAGGGGTGCAGGGCCATCTGGAGGCTGGGTGGAGGCAGGGCCTGCAGGCCAGACTGGTCGTCTGGCTGAGGCTGTGCCTTGGTGGTGCTCTGCCCCCCTCCCTGGCCTGGCCCTGCCCCCTCAGGTCTGCTTTCCCCTGGCCACCCGTCTCTTTCCTGGCACCTGCAGATGCTTCGGATGCTAAAGCCAGGGAGCGGAGGAGGGGCGGGCCTCTGCCCACGTCGTCCTCAAAGGAAGCCTCCGAGGCCAAGGATCCCAGGTAGCACACCTGGGAGGCAGGTGGACACTCTCCTACCCCTCGGGCCCCTCCTGCCCAGCAGGTGAGGGCGCTGATGCTGTGTGCTCCCATGGGGCTGAGGCCGTAGGGACACACAGGCCTTTGAGCTCCTTGAAGGGCCTCTTCCTGGGGAGCTGCTCCCGGCCGGCTGGCTTCTTACTGGACAGTTTCCTTCCGGAGATCTAAATGCTGCGTCTTTTCAGCCCCCACCCTCTGAGGGGTGAGCCTGTGTCCACCTGGACGCTGTAGGGAACCCTGCTCATGTCCTCCTGCTCCAGCGCCCTTCGTGGGTCTGGTGCTCAGTGGCCTGGTGTCACTGCTAGGCCCTTTGGCCCCTTCTGATTCAGGCTCTGGGGCACCATGGCCTCACTATTCTGCGGCTCCAGGGAGGGCAGTCGTGGAGACTGGGGGTGCTTATGGGGACTGGATGTGGCAAAGAGGGTCCTAACCCCACTGGACAGGAATGGCCAGGAAGGCTGAGCTTTGGGCTCATAGTGTGGCTGGGTGGAGCTATAGGCTCACCTACCCATCTGCATGTTATTTTTCTTCCAGGAAGCCACCTGTTTCTTCTGGCTTCTGTGGGGGCCATGGGGTCACAAGACAGGAGTGTGAGAGGAGGGCTAGGTGGACGCAGCTTGGCTACCAGGCAGCCTGTTGTGGGTCCTCAGCCCTACAGGGCATCTGGGCTGGGTGGGGCCGCCTGCGGAGTGGTACCTGGTCTTGGGCAACCTCAGCCCTATCTGCTTCCCCCTGGCCTGGCGGCTGGTGCCGGGAAGTGTGGCCCCGTGCCCCAGGCCTTCTTGAGGGCAGGGACCTCACAGGTGATGGTACCCACATTGTGCCCTTTCTAGGGAGTGCACCCCACCCAGCAGGCCTCGCTGCTTCTAGCCAGCTGCGCAAATCCCATGGACATGCTGCTCTGCACTTGGCAGACAGGCAGGGTCATGGGCTGTCATCAGGGTGGACCAAATACAATTGAGGGGATGGTGGTGGTGACGGCTTCTCTGGGAACTGTCCCATGGAGCGCGTGTGGCCCGAGTGGGCCTGTCCCTTTCCAGCCACAAGAGACCAGAGCTGCCCAGGACCCCATCGACCCCAAGGATCACCACATTTCCCCCGGTGCCAGTCACCTGTGATGCTGTGCGCAACAAGTGCCGTGAGATGCTGACCGCCGCGCTGCAGGCTGACCGTGAGTGTTGCCAGCAGGACTTCTTGCCTGCCCTGGGGTCCTGGCTGCTGACACATGCCTAGGTTCCCTGGGTGGCTTGGGCCCTTCGTGCCAGCAGAGGGTCTTTGGGAGTGGCCCTCTCACCCAGCTCATGCTGCTGACCTCGGTGGGGTAGGGGATCTTTGGCGACACCAGAATACCTGGGTCCTGGGCTAACTGCCCAGTGCTGGGCAGGCTGAAGTGGTGGTTGGAGCCAGTGGGGTGGCTAGTCAGGGCTGCCTCTTGCAGATGATCACATGGCCGTTGGCACAGACTGTGAGCGCCTGTCAGCCCAGATTGAGGAATATATCCTTTGTGCAAGGGCTTGGGGGCTGGGGTTTCTGGTGGAGTCACAAGGCCAACCAAGCCTGCTCCCCTCTCCAGGCAGTTGGGTTGGTCAGGCCTCCACACTCTTGACCAGGAGTCTCTCTCCTTACCTGCTGCCTGCTGGTGGGACCTGGGTCCCAGAGCCCAAAGCTGGGTCTCAGCCAAGAATGGGTGTAGTGGGGACTCTTTCCAGCAGACCCCTCACTCACTGCTAGGCCTCGGTGGGGCGGCTGACACTCCCATCCCTTGTTGCTAGTCTCCTCATCCCTGCCCAGCTCCCCCACCTTTGACATGGCCCCCACAAGAACCTTGTTGGCCTGGGCTGGTGGTGGGGTGGGTGGAGGGCAGGGGTACTGGCTTCTGGGTAGGTCCTTAAGCACTTGCACGCATCTTCCGGGACGTGGGGAACACAGACATGAAGTATAAGAACCGTATTCGGAGCCGCATTTCCAACCTCAAGGATGCCAAGAACCCCGACCTGCGGCGGAATGTGCTGTGTGGCGCCATAACCCCGCAGCAGATTGCCGTGATGACGTCGGAGGTGAGCCTGCTGGAGGGTCTGGGGACCCCCTCTGCACAGCGGGGGGGCTGAGCACGCACGCCTCCTCCCAGGAGATGGCCAGCGACGAGCTGAAGGAGATCCGCAAGGCCATGACCGAGGAGGCCATCCGGGAGCACCAGATGGCCCGCGGCGGCGGCACCCCGACCGACCTGTTCACCTGTGGGAAGTGCAGGAAGAAGAGCTGCACCTACACGCAGGTGAGCATTTTAACCCCCTCAGAGCTGCACGGGCCCAACCATGGGCTGGAATCTACGACCCCTAGTCCTTCGGGACCTCCCCCCTTGCCCAGGACCCCTGGTCCCCAGTAAGCAGTGTCTTGGGAGGTGGGTCCTGCTTGCTCTGCAGCACCAAAGTTTGGGGCCCGGCCCGACATGGAGGAGCCCCAGGGAGAGTTGCTGCCGGCGGGAGGGCTGGCGTGTTGAGTGCCTGGCAGTGGCTAGAGGACTACACTCAGACCTGTGGAGGTGGACACTTTGCACCCCAGGAGATGTCAGGGAGCCCTGGTGAGAGGAAGCAGTTGGCAGCTGGAAGGTTGGGGTTGCCAGGGTGGCCTCAACACAGGCCACCCACAGGGACCCAGGGCTTGTGAGGCTCTGGGCGGCCTTCCCACGGTGTGGCTCCAGGGAAGACCTGCTATCTGGGGGCTCCTGCTTTTAAGTGACAGAGCCCGGGGGCTGGCGGCCCCTCTCATCAGGATCCTCTCCCAGGTGCAGACCCGCAGTTCTGATGAGCCCATGACCACATTTGTTGTCTGCAATGAGTGTGGAAACCGCTGGAAGGTAAGGGGGAGCCCAGGCCACACCCAGCCCTGCTCTCTGGCGGTGGGCCGTACATGGTGTGACACTATGGCCCACCAGCCTCCTGGGAGCTGCCCTGCCCTGAGGGGTCTTGCCGGTGGTACAGCCAGGCACCTCTCCCCATTTTGTTGCAGTTCTGCTGAGGCTGTGGCCAGCACTCTCCCCAAGTCTCTGCCAACAGACACAGCTTCTTTGGAGACCTGCCCTGTGCCCACATGGCCTCCCCTGGAGGGCTGTGTGCCCCACCTCCTGCCCTGCCTGCAGTGCACCTTTGTCCTCCCGCCAGATTATTAAATGTTTCTTTTTGCCACCATGCTGTCCCTGGCCCTTGGCCTGGTGGGCCCTGCACAGGCTTGGGCTGCCAGCTGGGTCCCATGTCAGGTCTGACCCCGCCACTGCCACCAGGGACAATCCTAGGGTCAGGTGAAACTCGGAGGGCCCTGCCTGGGTGCCTGCAGATGAGGGCAGGTGCTGGGTGGGGGCTCAGCTGGGAAGGGTCTTGGGCACACAGAGGAAGAGTCTCAGCCTTCCCTGGGCACTGTAGCTCAGGGCCCAGGGCTTATGGGCAGGAGGCCAAGTCTGGATCCCATAGCCCTTCAGGACAGCTTGTTCTCACCCCATCTCTGCTTCTGGAGGCACAGTGGATTTGGGGGGACCCTAGGCAGAGTCACCGGGCCCTGGACCAGCTGCAGTTTTGAATCTTCAACCTCCTGGAAGCTCAGGGAACGGGATGGCAAGCATGTGGCTCAAGGGGCCTGTAAGATGGTAGAGGCTACACTGCCTGGCACCCAGACCCTTGGGGAGGCCACACCATCCGTGTCCTGCCCCAGCCAGCCTGCAGGGATGAACTTTGACACATGCCAGGGATTCTGCCCACCTGGGGCCTGAGCAGCCCTTCTCATTGCTCTGCCTGCCTTGGCCAGGCTGGGCACGGGGGCCACACCTGCCCAGGTCACAATGCCCTCCCCAGCAGGGATGAGCACAGCTGTCTACTGGGGTCACTGCTCTGAGGACGGGTGGCAGTAGGGACAGAGCACTTGGGGTCAGGTCCCTGGCACAGCTGTCTGCTCCTTGCCCTGGGTATTGGACAGTTACTCATCTTCTGATCTCCCCCAAAACATGGAAAGAGAGGAGACTTCTGCTTAAAAAATAACTTCAAATAAGACACTCTTATTTTGGGGGGAAGAGAGATGGAGATAAATATGAAAACTTTTTTTCTGTTTTTGATAAAACTGTGAGGACATATTTCCAGGTTTAAAGTCAAGGAACATATAAAAGCAGCTGACTCCTTTTGTGTTCAGCCTGTTCTGAGGTTCGGGTCTGATTCTGGGGTGCACACAGCCTGAGTTGGAGGGTCTCCTCGTGTCTCAAAACGATTCAGTACAGAGGCCCTGTTCTCCAGAAAAGGCATTTCTTGAGGCTCCTGGATGCGTGGGGAGAAGGCCCGGGAGGCTGGCGGGTCCGAGGTGCCTCTTGGGAGGGTCCCTCCTCTCACCATGCTGAAGCTCTGGCAGGCCGGTCGGAGCTGATGTGTGGGGGGCTGCCTGGGCCCAGAGGCCCTCATGCCTGCCTCTTAGCAGGGCCCTGAGGTCCTATGTCCCCAGGGTGGGGCGGAGGCTTCTGGTCTGCCCTGCACCTGGAGCTCTTGCTGGGCTTGCCCCCAGGGGTGCTGGACCCTGCAGGTGTGCCCGACACCTGCTGACACAAGTTTGTGAAGGTAACCTGAGTCTGCCCATGGGCGGGTCCCATCTGTGCTGCTGCAGTGGGCAGCCTAGGCCTCGCTGGAGGACTGGGAACCCCCCCGGAGCAGCAGGGCACGATAAGTGGGGGAGCTGAGGAAGCGGGGGTACGAGTCCCGGTGCATGAGTGTGTAAATCTGCAGCTGCGCGTCGTCAAATGTGTGTGCAGACGGCTCCTGCATCTTCTTGTTGATGCCCTCCCGCACTCGGGAGTCCAGGCTCACCTGTGGGACAGGGCACCACGTCAGGGGCCTGGGAGGCACCGCCCTTCAACCCCCAAGTCCATGCATGCAGTGGCGCACCTCCTTGGGGGACAGGATGGACACGTAGTCCTCGTAGATAAGCCGCGCCTTCTCGTCCACCACGTGCTGGTTGGCTTCGGATTTGAGCTCCTCGCAGGCCAGCCAGAAGAGCATGTTCTCCTCGCTATATTCTGTGCGCAGAAACTCCCGGAACACACCGCGGCCCGCCGGGCTGTGCATCAGCTTGTCGAAGGACTGTGCCCAGCTCTGCACCTCCTCGGGGCTTGGTGTGGCACTGTGAGCATTCACCACCCGGCCAAGTCAGGCCCGGGTCCCCTCCACCCAGGTGCCCCACACCGATGCATGCACACACAGCTGGCCACTCACCACACTTCACAGCTGGGGAGGGGCTGCAGCTTGTTATCCTGCGAGGCCCGCCATGCTCTCCGCCGCTCTTCGTTCCTGATGGCAGGGAGAAGGTGGCACTGCCCGCCTCGGCACATGCACAGGCACATATCTGAACATGGGATGCTCAGCATATGTGTGAACCCACTGCAGGTGGGAAGGCCTGGAGTCCACTCCTTTTACATCCTCCTGGGAAAGAGGGTCTGTACCCACTGTCCAAGGCCCCCTCCTCCTGCCCAGGGGGCCAAGGCCATTTCAGCAGCGCGTGGGGGACGTCTACTGTCTTTTTGCCTTTGGGACTTCTTGGGTTCCTGCTGCACCCCTCCCTCTCTGGCCTTACCTTGGCCCCCACCCAAGTGCCTGACCCCTGACTATCCCTAGGGGACCTTTCCTCCCTTGGCTCCTAGCACCGTGTCAATGCTGGCTACTAAATCCATACCCCGAGCTAGACCCCTCTTCAGGGCCACGAAGACAGCTAACAGACATACCAACCCAAACGTCCAGGCAGAATTTGGCTCGGGCCCTACCCTATCAGCTAGACCCCAAATCCCCCTCTCAGCCCTCACAGTGGGTCCTAACTATTCATGGCCTCCCACCTCTATTTTCAGGCTGCCTCTTTCTGTGTGGAGCCTGGGCTTAGGCCTCTGTTGCTCACTGGTCAGCAAATCCCCCTGTCAGTCTCCACAGTGCCGTCCACTCAGTGGCCAAGGGTCAGAAGCCTGAATGAGGCCAGGGCCCTGCACGGTGCAAAAACTCCAACCGCTTCCCTACAAGCCCAGAGAACTGTCACCACCCTGAGGCCCCACACTTGCCCTCCGGCATGCTGCCTTGGAAAGCAGGCCTCTGCTCACCGCTCGACCTGACAGTCTGTTGGGGCTGTGCCACACGATCCGCTGCAGGTCCCCAGAGCCGGCCCACCTGCACGTGCACCACGCACAGGCACCGGTGCAAGGGGCTGTGCACCCGGGCAAGCACCCGTGCAGCGGGGCCCTGGACCCGAGCCCGCCCACCCCCCCGGACTCCCCGCCTCCCCCTGGGCACCCCCGCACCCCCGGCCCACATACCGCGAACAGCCACAGCACCAGCACCAACACAGGCAGCAGGGGGGGCGGCCGGGGGCGGCCCGGGTGGCAGCATCAGGGCCCGACATCGAGGGCGGCCGGCCCGCCGCCTCCGGCCCGCCGTGCTGGGGACAGGGGCTGCCTCGTCTCCCAGCCAGGCAGCAGGCCCTCGCACCTCCCCAGGGCAAGCCAGCCACAACCCTCCAGAACTCCCAGGTCTTCGAGGTGCCCCCATTCCTTGCCATGCCCCCTCCCCCAAGGGGCAGAGGCGGGTGGGGGTGGGGGCACACCTGTTTCTCAGCCTCATGTGGGGTGGGCATGGGTGGGTGGAGGAGGTCGCCTGGGCTCCGTGGTGCCAGCTCCGGGACCCTCACCACAGCCTGGGGGTCTGGGAAGAGAGGCAGAAGTTCTCACTGAGAACCTGAGACTCCAGCCCTTGCCTGGCCCCTGGGAGGGGTCCCGAAAAAGTCTGTGTCTGCTCTGTGGACCTGCTGGGCCTGCTCCCCCGCCTCCCACCTCCGGACCACTCTGTCCAGGCTCCTTCCCCCCAGAGAGCTACACTAGGGTGGGAGGGGTGCAGGGTCAGTGAGCCTGGGGCCCAGACGAGACCACCACAGAAGGTGCTGGGACACCCCCATCGGTTTAGTCCCTGGGAAGCCGGAAGCCTGGGTTCCTCTTTTTCGGTTTCCGCTCCTGGCCCCTCCCAAGGGGGCCAGAGGCCCCAAGTCTGGGACTATGGTGTTGGTGCATAGGAATGCTGGTCAGACTTTCAGGACTCCCCGTAAGCTCCCTCCAGCCCCAGTTTTCTGCAGTGGGGGGAGGTGGGAGGTGGGTAGGGTTGTCCCCCACCAGGAGTCCAGATTAGTGTGTGGGCCCCAGAGGATTCTGACCTGTCACTGAGACTTGGCCAGGGGCAGCAGCCTAGGCCTGCAGCATGGAGGATTTGAGTGGGCCCTGGACGGGACTTCCTGAGGGTGTGGGACATGGGGCAGGGCAGGGGTGAGGAGGGTCATTAACTTCCAGCACCTCAGTCCCAGCCGCTGCCCTGGCACCTTACCCACAGCTGCACCTCACCACACCCAGGGGCTCCCAGACTCCCTTCCCCTCCCCCCAGCAGGCTGCGGAAACCACTGCGGCCGGTGGAGGGTTGGGGTGTCCTGCCCCCAGGCTGGAGCAGCAGCAGGGAGTCCTGTGTCTGGAGGTGTGCGGGGGTGGCCCACTGAGGCCCCCAGCCAGGCGTGTGCCCCCACCCCCACCTCAGGAGGACCCCAGGGCGGCGATGGTGCAGGGTGTCCTATCAGTGCCCAGGAGGCAGTTTTGAGCGCCCCCTGCGAGGCCCCCCTGGGACCTGCCTGAGCCCCTGCCGCTGGGGCCAGGAGGCTCAGACATGGTTTCACTTTATTTTCCCCTTTATCTCATCCTGTCTGATGCCCCCATCCTTCCACTCAGGGTCTTTTAATTCCTGTTTGGTCCACATTGGCCTCTTGGGGTCTCAGAGGGCAGGAGGTGGGATGGGAAGGCCCTGTAGTAGTCACTGGGCTAGGCAGCTTCTGGAGCTGGGGTGCTGGGCCAGGACTGTGCCAGCCGTGGAGCTGGGCACACTTAGGGCCCCCTGCCGCCAGGACTGGGCAACACAGACCTCTGCCCTGACCCAAAGCTGGGGACCAAGTGCAGGGACCTGGAGCCTCAGCCCCTCATCACCAGTCTGGCTTCCCTTGGGATCATGGAGGGGATCCTCAGATTGGGTCCCACAGGCTCCCACCAAGCAGACAAGGAAGCAGCCCCACAGCGCGCCTTTCCCTCGGGGACAAGCGTCCAGGGAAAGGAAGGGGTGTGGCGACCTCTGAAGTCCGAGGCCCTACCCCAGATGCGCTGCGACCTCCACAGGCAGGGCCCCTCTGCCTCCCCCCACCCCCACCAAGGCTGCCCACCCCCACCTCAGCTCTAAATTGGAGGAGGGGGCCTATCAGAGGGTGCAGGGCCCAGGTGCTGGGGGCCAAGTTTGGGGTGGGGGTGGGGCAGTCCCTGGACCTGGTGGGCCATTCCTGTACCAGGCTCCCACCCTCCTCAGGCTGGCTGGGGTCGCCCTTGTCACCAGCGCACCCGCTCTCTCTCCTGGGGAGATGGAGGGTCTGAACTAGGGCTCCTGCCTCTCAGGAGGGGTCCCTTCCCATTCCCCAGCCCCTCCAGGCTTTGGCCCCCAAGTCTGGCATGGGAGAGTCTGCACAGGCAGCGAGTCTGGCCTCTGGGGACAGAGGCTCCCTTGGGAGTGGCTGCTGCTCTGCTCCACAGAAGGAAAAAGAACGTCCCTAAGCCAGCCCAGTCCAAAAAAAGAGTAAGAAAATGTGACAATCCCAGAAAAAAATGTCACAACCTTTGGAGGGGAGTTGACAGAGGGGCTCCGTTCCCTCCTTCCAATCCCACTCGGTACCTCTCCTCTGCTGCTCCCCCTTGACTGGCCCTGGTGGCCCTCGGGGCTCCAGCCCAACTCTGCAACGGTGGGGGCAACGCACTTCTCTCCCTCTTCTCTCCGCTGGTAGCGTCTGGGTTTGAGGGGTCTGTTTTTCTTCAGGGGCCCCCTCTTCCAGCCTCTAAGTCTCCCACCCCTACCTCAAGGAACTCGACATGGCGCCCCACTCACCAGTGACCCAAAGGCGAGGTGGGGGCGGGAGGGGCCAGATTCGCCCCGGGCCCCGCCCTGGCTGCCGAAGGGGCGTGCACTGCAGCAGCAGGGACTCAAGTCAGACAGCAGGAGGTACTCCTGCAGCTTTCTGGAGGGAGGCCGGCGCCTGGAGTCCCCGATCTGCTGGGGCGCGGGTCGTAGCTACTCCCCTGCGACCGTCAGTGCTGAGCAGCTGCCAGATGCAACGGGCTGGGGGCGGGGGCGGACAGCGCGTCCCGCCTCGGCCCCTCCCCACTAAGCCGAAGTGGGGCGGGAGACGCGGAAACCTGGGTTCTTCCGGCCCCCCCTTTGAGCAATCACTTCCCCAGGCTTTGAGCTGCAGAAAAAGGGGAACCCGGTTGCAGCGCCCCCTCCCCCACGCGCGGGGGGTCGGGCTCCAGTCCCGCCGTGGCGCAGAGTCCACGTGGACCCCGCGGCGGGAGTCCTTGGGGTGCGGATCCGGACGCCGGCTCCCGAGGCTCCCGCGCGTACGGCCCCGGGACCCGGGCTGGGAGGGGCAGGGCCGCCGGCCTCGGCGCCGCGCGCGCGCGCGCACTCACCGGCTGCGCTCTCGAGCCGCTCGCGCCGCCGCCGGCCCGCGCGCTCCGAGGTCCGGCCGGATCGCGGGGAGGGGGGCACAGGGCGCATTGCGCAGGCGCCCGGGCTGCACTTCCCCAAAGCGCGGGGCCGGGACTTCCTCGCGCAGGGAGGCGCCCGGCCCGCCCTGCCCGGCGTGCCCCGCCCCGCGCTCGGCAGCCTCCGCGCCCCACGCGCCCCTTCCCCACCGACCGGCCTGATCCTGCGCGGCGCCGTGGTCCTCGCTGGCGCTTGGCGTGTCTCTTGGCAATGAGGTACTAATAATGGGGCCTCTGGCCCTGGGGCGGCTGACCTGGCAGTGCCGTGGATGGGGGTGTGGCGTGCCCCCCACTCTGCTCAGCGGGGCCATGCCAGCTTTGCCCTTCAAGTGGGACTTCCAGGAGACTACGGCCCAGTGTGAGGCCCCAGATCCCTCGAGACTCTGGCGTCCCCGTATGCTGCTTTCCCCTCTTGAATAAGAAGAGGCCGCCAGAAAGGACTGTCCACCAGTCACTGCTGGCCTGGCACTAGCCTCTCTGAGACTGGGTGCCCTTTCCTGTAAAATGCTCTCACTGTGCTGTAGGGAGTTTCCCAAGGCAGGGGGCGTCCTGTGCGCCGCTGTCTGTGCTGTGGCGGGGTTCAGGTGCCGATGCTGGGGGAATGGGTTCTTATATCTGAAGTCACTAAGTGTCCCTGGTCTTGGGGCCTGGCTGAATCAATCCCTCTGACCCCTCCGGTTGCCCAAGATGTCCTAAAGCCACACCCTCCTCTTTGCCATGCCCCTTCTCTTTGGCTAACTCTCCCGATATTTTATCGTCAGGCACAGCTGTAAGTTAAATGCCTTGTCCCAGGGTGCGTCGAGCCAGTGTCAGCGTGGTCTCAGCTCAGCTCTGGAAATGGTCGCAGAGTGTCTGCAGACCTCTGGCCACGGTCACGGGCAACGACTGTCTGCAGCGCAGACACTCCGCCTGGTCAGTTCTTGGTCCTGTTCTCAAAGTGCCTTCCAATTGCACGTTGTTTTTGCACGTTTATTCAGAAATTTTCAAGACGTAAAAGGAAGTGGAGATTTTACTTTTACTCATTCTTCATTCACTCAGCAAGTGTCTGGGTGTCCCCTGTGTGCCAAGCAGCAGGACCTAGCAGTGAGCAAGACAGACCAGCCCTGGAGCAGACAAGAAATGGACTGTCCGACTGGGTGAGAGGTGAGGAGGGCTAAGGAGAGCGTGGCTGAGGAGGGAGGACGTGGCAGAGCAGCAGGCAGGGGCCCAGCTGGAGGAGTGCGCACAAGATCAGAGACGTGAGGGGGACCCTGGAGGCTGGGGTGCCTCTCGATGCCGTGTGCCCAGGGGCTCTGCCGACATGACCACAGAACTGTCTGGCTGCCATGCTGACAGGCTGGGCAGGCCAGGGCAGAGCCGGAAGCCTGTTCAGACTGGAGGCAGCTGCTTATTATTTAGCCTGGATAACAGTCCTGAGAGGTGGATCCTACAAAGACGGCGGGCACCTCGTCAAGGCCACCTAGCCAGACTGATTCCACGGTGTTTGGTGTGGTGTCTTTACCCACCTTCTGAGAAACGTGTGGTGTAGCTGGCCGTGTAGTCCGCACACTTCTTTTTTCCCTTTGGCCACTCTACACCCTTGCTCACCCTCCTCTCCCTCCCAGCCCTCCCTACACGGTCCACCTCTGGTCACTCCCCTGTGTCCTCTGGGCACTCGGCCTGCTCTCCATTCCCCTTGCCTCATCTCATGCATGTCAAGGTGTGAGTGACCAGCACTCCTGAACGCAGAGGCTGCCTTCTCCTCTCTGTCTGTCTGTCCCTGGCCCGAGCCACCTACTCTCCCGTTCCTCCTTCCCCCTGCCTTCCCAGAGGCCCTGCTCTCCAGCCATACATAGCTCTCTCCTCTCTCCTGGAGCTGCCAGACACCAGCTCCAAACAATGTCCTGGGCTTGGTTCAAGGCCAAGGGCAGCAATACCCAGAAAGGGCAAAATACAGAGGAAGAAGGGCTGCTGAGGGCACCAAGGGCCCAGGTCCCCATGTGGCTCAGTTCCCATCCTGAGTTAGGTCAGGGAGGGGCACTGGCTGCCACTGAGCAGGACTCCTTGCAGCGGGCCCCCAGCTCTGACCTCTGCCAGGAAGGATGCACCCCTCCAGGATCATTTCTCCACAGCAGGCTGACTCAGCAGGAACTCCCTAGTAGGGGGAGCGGCTTGTCTGAATCCCTGCAGCCCCCACCTCTGCGACCTGCTAGTCTGGTCGAGGCTGGGAGGGAGGGAAAGGAAGAGGTGGCTGAGAGAAGCCCCAGGCTCTGCAAAGAACCTGTGTGGGGAGAAGAGAAAGTTCTCAGAAAGGGGGTCTCTCCAGAAACTTCGGAGGTGCTTCTGAGTCCAGAGGGCTTGCCAGTCCTGGGTCTGTTAGAATGGGATGGGGGTGGTGCCCTTCCTGCCCTCCGTGTGTGTGTGTGGGGAGGGGACAGCAGGGGTCCCCCCTTCCCCAGTGTCTGTCCTCTGGAGGACCTCCCCGGAGCGGCTGGCTCTCCAGAGGCCAGCTTTGGCTTGTGCAGTCACTATCCCTGCCCAGAGTGTCACCCTCCTCCATGAGCCCCTGCTGGAATGACCTGAAATCTGGGGTCCCACTTGGGCCCCACTTTCTTCCTGAAGCTTCTGGGGATGTGACTGTTGCCCAGCCTGGGCCCCTCCCCCCACGGGGTCGGGGATTGTCCCCCGTTCATCCGACACCCGCTCACTTGCACCTTCCTGCCCTGGAGGAGCCCCGCTGTGCAGGCCGTGTCTGTGGCATCCTGCATAGGAGAGGGGCAGCCGTACTCCCCCTTCCCTCCCCAGAGACCTGGAGCGGGAGCACAAAGACCAGGGGAGCTTGGAGAATGAGAACTTTATGTGGGCCGGTGGGGCTCAGGGGGGACGCACTATGGGATCTCCATCAACGTGGGAAAATGCCGCCGTCGACTTTCTCCTCCAGGATGGTCTCCACGCGCCTCCGCTGCCGGGGAGAAGGGCTGGAGCCAGGTGTGCGGGAGGCAGGCGGGGCCCCCTCTCCGCCCCTTCCTGGGCTTGTAGTCACCTCTTGGCGGTCCAGGGGGTCCGGGATCCGCGTGGGTTTCAGCTGCGGCGGCAAGAACAGCTCCAGGCGGATGGCAGCGCGCGCGGACTTCTGCCGCTGGATGAGGAGCGAGATTTCCTCCGCCTGCGGGCCCCGCGTGGACGGTGGCCGGTGTTTTTGAGCTCACGGGGCTGGTTGCCTTTACCCGTCGCATGCAGGCAGGTCAGGCAGGCCCGCCAACCCCCCAACCCACCGTCGGCCTCCAGTGGGTCCCCCGCCCCTTTCCCTAGGATACCAGGACCCGTCTCCCCTCCCCGGCCTCTGACCCGCCCGCCCCTTCCCTCCGCGCTCTGTCTTCACCCGCAGGCGGCCGTAGCGCAGCCGCAAGGCGCGGACTCGCCCGCGCGCCTCGGCGGCCTTGAGGACACCAAGAAGTCCGTCCCGGCGCTCCGCGGGCAGCTCCGGTGACTGCGTCCACACGCGCGGGTCGGGCACGCGAAACTCCAGCTCCACTGACTCGCGTGGGAAGATGGGGGCGGCTGCGCCCGCGTCCTCAAGCAGGTCGCCAAAGAGCAGGCGGCGGGGGCGTTGCGCGGGGCTCATGGCTGCCAGCCTCTCCGTTGTGAGGGCCCAGCTCGGCTTCGGGGGCTGCCCCGCGGGCGCCCTCCTGGCGCGCTCCCCCGCACCCGGTGCGCCCTTTCCGGCGGGCGCCCGCGGGCCCCTGCGTCCCTGCCTCGCCGCCGGCGGCTGCATCGTCAGCCCTGCCGAGGGAGGAGGGCGTCCGGTTGGTGCTCGAGCGCCGCACTGTGCCTTCCCAGCTCCTGCTCCTCGGGCTTCTGCCCCTTTGCCCAAGCCCAGCACGCATCCCTAGCAGCTTAGCGTCCCCCCCCCCCCAGTTGTGCAACCATCTAGAACTTTATGATCCACAAGGAGTTTCAGGAAATCCCTTTCCTGCCTGGTTCTCCAATCACTGAGAAAATGCTGCGACTCTGAGTTGACTTCAGGCTGGACCCAGGGGTGGAGGCCCCGGAGGGGCTGTGGGTGAGGCTTCGCGGCCCCTTTCCCGCAGTGCTGGGTGGGACCTTTGCTGGGCTCCAGAACCCCACGACTACCGTCAGCACTCACTCACCCTAGTGGAGCCCCAGGGGCTGGCTGGGCTGCTCGAGTCCGCCCCGCACTGGACTCAGGCCCCTTGTCCGTGTGTGAAGGCCTGGAGGTGGAACGGTGCCCTTCATATTTTGGGCAGAGGACTTGTGCCCTTCTGGGAGATGTGTGTGGTTTTGTGTATGTCTGTGGGTGTGTGTGTGTCCGGATGTTCTTGTGTGGATCAGTCTGTGTGTCTGGGAGGTCTCACACATGTGATGGGGAGAGGACCCCATCCGCCTCGCCTGTTCCCTGCTGGGTCTAGATGGCGGAAGGGGCAGCGGAGCCCAGAGAGAAGGGGATGGAGTACGAGGGTCCACAAGGGGCGGGGAGGAAGGGAGATGCCCTGGGAGTGCCGGCTCAGCCCTGCCGTGCGCCTTTCTTCCCCAGACCCCAGATCCTGGCCCACTGTGGGCCGGGGGCAAAGCCGCTGCGTTCTGGGCGTGTGCTGGCGACCACCCCGCCCCCCATCCCTAGCTACAGCAGTCAAGGCCCCGGTCGCAGCATCCCATACTTTCTGCCTTCTTGGGTCTGAGCCTCCAACTCAGCCCCGACTCTCTCGGGCTTGTTGACACGGTTGCCCGGCAACCGGAGTCCTGCTCCTCCCCCAACCTGATGAGGCCGGGCGGCCCCTCACGAAGGGCTTGGGCAGAGCCGGGGGTCCCAGTGAGTGGAGAGTGCCCCCATGTCGGGGGCCAGACGCCGCAGACGCTCTCCTACCCCGCTTTTCTGGACTGCGGAGGACGTGCAGGAGGCGACTGCCAGATTTTCCAGCCCCGCTTCACTTTGCTTTCGGGGGAGCCCCAGGCACACTGCGGGGGCTGCGGCCCAGCTTCCTGGCTGGAGGGGTCTTTGGGGGCTGTTTTGCAGGCAGAGGGCGCAGCTATGAGGGCACCCTCGCTGTTGAGGCCCTTCCCCTCTGCGTGTCCCGAGGTTTCCCACAGCCGCTGGTGTTCACAGGAAGGGGAAATGGTCACAGCGCAGTACCCTTCACCTCTTCCAGAGCAAGTTTGGCGACCCAAGCGTCCCGCAAGACCACACCCAGAGTTTTCCTGAACCCTAAGTCTCTGCGTCGTAGATTTCTGTAATTTTTTGTAAATTAGTAGTATTTGATAACTAATTCAGTTCTCAATTTACTAATTCTATAATTTATTCATGTACTCATTCTAGGTTACATTAGGCACCACTTAGTGCATTAAACCCGTCATTTGCTGTTGTTATCGGTGGCTTCCACACCCTTCATTCATGTTGTGCCAGTGTGTGCCCTGGGCCCTGCCTGGGGCCTTACGGGCATTCAGGGCCTAAGCCCCTGAGGTGGGTCTCAGCTGAGCTATGGGTTTCCTCCAGAAAGCTCTTGAGAATTCCCACTGTTTCTGGGACTTTGCTCCAGCCTTCTGGTGAGACTGTGCTCCTGTGTCCCCAAGCCTGCACCACCCGCAGCTCCACAGGACGCCTGTCCACCCTTCCAGCTCTTAAGCCTTTGCCCCGGCTGTTCCCTGGTGCTTCCCCTTCCTGCCCTGAACGTGCCTTGGGGCTGTGGCCTTGGCTTTGGGATTCAGCACCAACCTGGGGGCTCACTGAAGATGGAGGTCTCTGGGCTCCAGAAAAAGCAGTGAGGGGTCAGGAAGGCTGACCTAGTAGGCCACCTCCTCCAGGCAGGCCTGGATACAGGCAGCCCACGCCATGATCCCACATGGGTGAGTTCTCTGAGACAGGTTTCTGGGCCCTCCTCTAAGCTTCTCAGGGACAGGCCAGGGGGGCACACAGGAGGGGAGTGGCTTGCTGGTTCCTGGTAGTGGAATGGGACTTGTAACTTTCCCTCTGTTTTTGTAGGATTGAAAAACTTTCCTCCCCCTTAATTGCTGGAGGGCTTGGTGCCCACATAGCTACAGTCCTGAGCTTGGCTTCTTCCTGCTTCTCCACACCTGTGGTTCCCTGGGAGTGGGGCGCACCCTGTGCATCTGTGACCCAGCAACTGTGAAGGACCACCGGGCAGATGTCTTCCATATGTTTCTGGGTCCAGGATTCCTGTGTTTTTCAAGGGCCGATGGAAATGCTGAGTTGTAAAAGCTTATTGACTGGTGCCAAAGCCTGAAAATAAAGCTCCAAAATAAAATTTATAAGCCTTATTGAATGGCTACAAACATTAACATTATATTAAAAACCTACAACTCAATTCTCTTGTTGCTGTATATAAATATTATGAAGTCAGAATTATAAGGACAAAGTAATTTATTATGATGAGACAGAATTAGTAAAAAGCTCTCACTTTTAACAGCACAAATGGCCGAGTGTAGCCTGGTGACTGAATTTCCGGGGGATGGCTGTTCTGTGTGAGGCTGCCAGTGACTATCCTCGGACTCCTGTGCCAGCCCAGGGGTGGCGGAGCTGTGGAGGGGGAGGGGGAGCAGCCGCGTGCCAGTCCAGGGTGGTGAGGGCTGGTGCTCAAGTCTGTCACCTGGCGTTGCTGCCTCAGTAGCTGTGTACACCAGCCATGTGCTCGCCCCAGTTTGTGGGAGTATGCCTCATTCTAGGACAGAGGTCCTGTCCCAAATGCCTGTGGCCTATGAATGCAACCCGTGTAATCTATGGATGCATTTCCTATAAGCCGGGTGTCTTGGGCTGTCCTGGTGACCCTGCATGTTTTGTTTTGCCTGCATATGAGATGTGTTTCAGTCTGTCCAGCTTTGACACAAATGCTCTGTAATATAATATACGTCCCCTGCTGTCCCATGTGTGACACAAACCTTCTGTATCTGACTGGCTCATGTGTCAAAAAGACAGTGCCTTAGGGTCCAGGGCTAAGTGTGGTCACATCCCAGCCAGGTGACCAAGCTTGTCCTTTGGCTGAGACCATACCTGCGGGGGGCTGTGTGCCCAGCTCCGCCATCCTGCGTGCCGGCTCTGCGAGGCACTCTTGTGGGATGTCTGTCCAGCCCAGTCTTGCGGCAGCCTCACGGCCCTTCTTTCCCCAGTCTGGGGCCTGGGCTGGGAGACAGCTGAAGGTGATTGGGAAATGCAGCTCTTTGGGGCTGGCAAGCAGGGTTTCTGCTGCTTAGACCTTGGAGAGCCTAGCTGGTGGAGGCTGTAGGAGGCCTGGTCTCCCTGAGTGCCTGCCTCTGCTGGGCTCCTGAGGCCAGTGGGATTGTGCTTTGTGCTTTGAGCTTCCTCTGGAGAGTGTGGTTCACATGTGTGTCCCCTGGGTGTCTGAGGGCTTGATCTGGGTCTGTTGTCTCCCGCTTGCCCACGTGCCTGGAGAGCAGCTTGGTGTGGGTGTGCATGTGTACAGCCCACGTGTTTGTGCCTGTGTGTCTACGCATTTCTGAGCACGTACCTGTGTCTGTGTGTTCACCCATGTGCCTGTTTGGGCATCCATGTGTGTTTGTAGACATCTGAGTCTGTGAATCCCTGAGTGTCCTGAGTGGATTCTGGTCATGCTCCGTGTCCCCACACATGTCCCTGAGGTGGCTGCAGTGAAGATGCAGAGATAAGCTCTGGGGTATATGTTGGGACACTGTGTCCCGGGGCAGCTCCATATTCTCCTTATTTGCCAGGTATCCTAGCGACACTGCTGCCAGTCGCCTAGCAACCAGGTCCCCGTCCTTGGAGACAGATGTTCTGAGCAGGGTCTGGGCTGTGTGGGTAGAGCCTGTGTAGAAAGGACGACCCCACGACTGCGTGGGACTGGCGGCTCAGCTCAGGGGTCACCTACACAGCATGTGGTCCCCGTGCTGGAAGGAGGTACTCCGTGGCAGCTGCTCAGTGGCATGGGTGTTTGGGGCTCAGGCTGTCAGGCTCAGATGTTGCTCTGGGAGAGACACCAAAGTGACAGACAGACCTGGGTTTTAACCCTGCCTCTGCCAGTTGGAGAGATGGCTTCACCCCTCAAGGCTTAGGGCTCTTGTCTGCACCAGAATGATGCTGATTGCAATGGCCGGGTGCCGTGGGGCTCGGTGAGCTCATGTTCCTGAGGGCACAGGGGGCACACAGTAGTGTCCAGGCATCCCGCTTGTTTACCCCAACCTCTGATCAACTCAGGGCTGGCCAGCAGGGCCCTGTCCCGTGTCCATCTGCCCACTTGGCTGAGCTCCCGTGGGAGCTGGCTGGAGGGTGCTGTTCTGGGCACAGAATGCCAACCAGGGCTGGCCTACATCCATCCATGGCGGTGTCTGCTTCCCAGCGTGTCTTGCTTGCCACGTCCCTGAGTCTGTGTCCCGGGTGTCTGCTCTGCCTCTGTGCCATGTCTTTGAGTCTCTTTTGTCCTGTGTGTGTCTGTCTCAGGTGCCCGTCCCTGAGTCTCCATGTATCCTTATGTGTGTCTGTCCCGTATGTCTGTCCCTGAGTGTCCGTGCATCCTTGTGTCTCTCTGTCCTTATGGGCCTGTCCCTGAGTCCCTGTGTGTCCATGTGTGTGAGTCTGTCCCTGTGTCCCTGCATCCTGTGTCACAGCCTGTCTCTGTCATTCATCTCTAGGTGTGTGCCCTGGTCCTTGCCTCTGTCCCCTTTCAGCGTTGGGCCAGTGACCCCCTTCCCTGCGGCCCCCGCCTCCAGCCTGCTTGGCCCCTCCCCCTCTGGCGCAGCCGCCTCCTCCCCCGCCCCAGAATCTGCGCTAGGCTGCTGCGTCTGGTCTGGCGTCTGCTGAGAAGGAGCCGCAGCCCCATCTAGACGCGGTGCCAGGCAGAAGCGGGTGCCTGCTGGGCTCTGTCAGCCACGGAGGGTCAGGGTCTCCAGGGTCCCAGCTCCCACAGAGGCTGCCGAGGTAAGGCTGAGCCCCTGTGGCTTGGGTGTGGGGATCACCTGCGGAAGCCCCCAGCACTCAGCAGGTCTGGGGCAGGGCAGGAGGAAGCTGTATGCACAGCTGCCCTGGGCCCCATGTTCCAGATGCTCCTGAGCGTGTCCTGGTCCCTTTTGTGCCTGCGTGTGCATGAAGGCAGGTTTGGGCTTCTCTGTATTTGTGTGTGCACATGTGTCCCCTGCCTATGAACACAGGGTGGCTGAGTATCCACAAGCCCCTGTGGGTGGACACGCATCCTGGGGTATAACCACATCCACACGTCCCATGTGGGAGTCTGCAAGCCAAATGTGACTATCTCAGTGTGTGCATGTGAGCCTCTGTGTGAGCGTGTGTCTGTCTGTGGTACATGTCTGCATGTCACTGTGTGTCCCTCTGTGCATGTGTGTGCTCCTGTGTCCCTGTGTGTGTGTACAGATGTGCCTCTGTGTCTGTGGTTGCTTGTGGAGGGTTCCACGTGCCTGTGGGCCACTCTCTGTGCTCTGTGGCCCCAGCCAGGTGGGTGTCAGGTGCTGCGGTCGTGTGTCCCTGTGCCCTTCCAGGTACTGAGTGGCTTCGCACACAGGGCAGTGGCATGGAGTCTCTCTTTCCTGCTCCATTCTGGGAGGTCCTCTACGGCAGCCACCTGCAGGGCAATCTGTCCCTCCTGAGCCCCAACCACAGCCTGCTGCCCCCCCACCTACTGCTCAACGCCAGCCGCAGCGCTTTCCTGCCGCTTGGGCTCAAGATCACCATTGTGGGGCTCTACCTGGCCGTGTGTGTCGGGGGGCTGCTGGGGAACTGCCTCGTCATGTATGTCATCCTCAGGTAGGCTGGGCCCCACTGAGACCCCTCCCCTACTGGTGAGCCCCATGCTGTTGCAGAGGGGAACAGTGTATGGAGGGCTTGGAAGGAGGGGAGGACGAGAGGGGGTGTAGAGTGGCCTGGAGGGGAAGGGCAGCATGGGGACAGCACGGGGGACAGAGTAGGGGAGAGAGGGGCAGCACAGGGACAGTGTTCATGTACATGTGCATGTACATGAATAGGTGAGGGTGTGCACATATGCATGCTGAACGTACTGTATTGTGTACACGTATGTGTGTGTTTTCACCACATGTATACATGAACACATGGGTGTTCATGTGTATGCGCACACATGTATGTGCCTGTATGTGTGAATGTGCCCATGTGTGTTGCACGGTGCATATGTTGGCTGCCAAAGCCTGAAAATAAAGCTCCAAAATAAAATTTATAAGCCTTATTGAATGGCTACAAACATTAACATTATATTAAAAACCTACAACTCAATTCTCTTGTTGCTGTATATAAATATTATGAAGTCAGAATTATAAGGACAAAGTAATTTATTATGATGAGACAGAATTAGTAAAAAGCTCTCACTTTTAACAGCACAAATGGCCGAGTGTAGCCTGGTGACTGAATTTCCAGGGGATGGCTGTTCTGTGTGAGGCTGCCAGTGACTATCCTCGGACTCCTGTGCCAGCCCAGGGGTGGCGGAGCTGTGGAGGGGGAGGGGGAGCAGCCGCGTGCCAGTCCAGGGTGGTGAGGGCTGGTGCTCAAGTCTGTCACCTGGCGTTGCTGCCTCAGTAGCTGTGTACACCAGCCATGTGCTCGCCCCAGTTTGTGGGAGTATGCCTCATTCTAGGACAGAGGTCCTGTCCCAAATGCCTGTGGCCTATGAATGCAACCCGTGTAATCTATGGATGCATTTCCTATAAGCCGGGTGTCTTGGGCTGTCCTGGTGACCCTGCATGTTTTGTTTTGCCTGCATATGAGATGTGTTTCAGTCTGTCCAGCTTTGACACAAATGCTCTGTAATATAATATACGTCCCCTGCTGTCCCATGTGTGACACAAACCTTCTGTATCTGACTGGCTCATGTGTCAAAAAGACAGTGCCTTAGGGTCCAGGGCTAAGTGTGGTCACATCCCAGCCAGGTGACCAAGCTTGTCCTTTGGCTGAGACCATACCTGCGGGGGGCTGTGTGCCCAGCTCCGCCATCCTGCGTGCCGGCTCTGCGAGGCACTCTTGTGGGATGTCTGTCCAGCCCAGTCTTGCGGCAGCCTCACGGCCCTTCTTTCCCCAGTCTGGGGCCTGGGCTGGGAGACAGCTGAAGGTGATTGGGAAATGCAGCTCTTTGGGGCTGGCAAGCAGGGTTTCTGCTGCTTAGACCTTGGAGAGCCTAGCTGGTGGAGGCTGTAGGAGGCCTGGTCTCCCTGAGTGCCTGCCTCTGCTGGGCTCCTGAGGCCAGTGGGATTGTGCTTTGTGCTTTGAGCTTCCTCTGGAGAGTGTGGTTCACATGTGTGTCCCCTGGGTGTCTGAGGGCTTGATCTGGGTCTGTTGTCTCCCGCTTGCCCACGTGCCTGGAGAGCAGCTTGGTGTGGGTGTGCATGTGTACAGCCCACGTGTTTGTGCCTGTGTGTCTACGCATTTCTGAGCACGTACCTGTGTCTGTGTGTTCACCCATGTGCCTGTTTGGGCATCCATGTGTGTTTGTAGACATCTGAGTCTGTGAATCCCTGAGTGTCCTGAGTGGATTCTGGTCATGCTCCGTGTCCCCACACATGTCCCTGAGGTGGCTGCAGTGAAGATGCAGAGATAAGCTCTGGGGTATATGTTGGGACACTGTGTCCCGGGGCAGCTCCATATTCTCCTTATTTGCCAGGTATCCTAGCGACACTGCTGCCAGTCGCCTAGCAACCAGGTCCCCGTCCTTGGAGACAGATGTTCTGAGCAGGGTCTGGGCTGTGTGGGTAGAGCCTGTGTAGAAAGGACGACCCCACGACTGCGTGGGACTGGCGGCTCAGCTCAGGGGTCACCTACACAGCATGTGGTCCCCGTGCTGGAAGGAGGTACTCCGTGGCAGCTGCTCAGTGGCATGGGTGTTTGGGGCTCAGGCTGTCAGGCTCAGATGTTGCTCTGGGAGAGACACCAAAGTGACAGACAGACCTGGGTTTTAACCCTGCCTCTGCCAGTTGGAGAGATGGCTTCACCCCTCAAGGCTTAGGGCTCTTGTCTGCACCAGAATGATGCTGATTGCAATGGCCGGGTGCCGTGGGGCTCGGTGAGCTCATGTTCCTGAGGGCACAGGGGGCACACAGTAGTGTCCAGGCATCCCGCTTGTTTACCCCAACCTCTGATCAACTCAGGGCTGGCCAGCAGGGCCCTGTCCCGTGTCCATCTGCCCACTTGGCTGAGCTCCCGTGGGAGCTGGCTGGAGGGTGCTGTTCTGGGCACAGAATGCCAACCAGGGCTGGCCTACATCCATCCATGGCGGTGTCTGCTTCCCAGCGTGTCTTGCTTGCCACGTCCCTGAGTCTGTGTCCCGGGTGTCTGCTCTGCCTCTGTGCCATGTCTTTGAGTCTCTTTTGTCCTGTGTGTGTCTGTCTCAGGTGCCCGTCCCTGAGTCTCCATGTATCCTTATGTGTGTCTGTCCCGTATGTCTGTCCCTGAGTGTCCGTGCATCCTTGTGTCTCTCTGTCCTTATGGGCCTGTCCCTGAGTCCCTGTGTGTCCATGTGTGTGAGTCTGTCCCTGTGTCCCTGCATCCTGTGTCACAGCCTGTCTCTGTCATTCATCTCTAGGTGTGTGCCCTGGTCCTTGCCTCTGTCCCCTTTCAGCGTTGGGCCAGTGACCCCCTTCCCTGCGGCCCCCGCCTCCAGCCTGCTTGGCCCCTCCCCCTCTGGCGCAGCCGCCTCCTCCCCCGCCCCAGAATCTGCGCTAGGCTGCTGCGTCTGGTCTGGCGTCTGCTGAGAAGGAGCCGCAGCCCCATCTAGACGCGGTGCCAGGCAGAAGCGGGTGCCTGCTGGGCTCTGTCAGCCACGGAGGGTCAGGGTCTCCAGGGTCCCAGCTCCCACAGAGGCTGCCGAGGTAAGGCTGAGCCCCTGTGGCTTGGGTGTGGGGATCACCTGCGGAAGCCCCCAGCACTCAGCAGGTCTGGGGCAGGGCAGGAGGAAGCTGTATGCACAGCTGCCCTGGGCCCCATGTTCCAGATGCTCCTGAGCGTGTCCTGGTCCCTTTTGTGCCTGCGTGTGCATGAAGGCAGGTTTGGGCTTCTCTGTATTTGTGTGTGCACATGTGTCCCCTGCCTATGAACACAGGGTGGCTGAGTATCCACAAGCCCCTGTGGGTGGACACGCATCCTGGGGTATAACCACATCCACACGTCCCATGTGGGAGTCTGCAAGCCAAATGTGACTATCTCAGTGTGTGCATGTGAGCCTCTGTGTGAGCGTGTGTCTGTCTGTGGTACATGTCTGCATGTCACTGTGTGTCCCTCTGTGCATGTGTGTGCTCCTGTGTCCCTGTGTGTGTGTACAGATGTGCCTCTGTGTCTGTGGTTGCTTGTGGAGGGTTCCACGTGCTCTGTGGAACCCTCTCTGTGCTCTGTGGCCCCAGCCAGGTGGGTGTCAGGTGCTGCGGTCGTGTGTCCCTGTGCCCTTCCAGGTACTGAGTGGCTTCGCACACAGGGCAGTGGCATGGAGTCTCTCTTTCCTGCTCCATTCTGGGAGGTCCTCTACGGCAGCCACCTGCAGGGCAATCTGTCCCTCCTGAGCCCCAACCACAGCCTGCTGCCCCCCCACCTACTGCTCAACGCCAGCCGCAGCGCTTTCCTGCCGCTTGGGCTCAAGATCACCATTGTGGGGCTCTACCTGGCCGTGTGTGTCGGGGGGCTGCTGGGGAACTGCCTCGTCATGTATGTCATCCTCAGGTAGGCTGGGCCCCACTGAGACCCCTCCCCTACTGGTGAGCCCCATGCTGTTGCAGAGGGGAACAGTGTATGGAGGGCTTGGAAGGAGGGGAGGACGAGAGGGGGTGTAGAGTGGCCTGGAGGGGAAGGGCAGCATGGGGACAGCACGGGGGACAGAGTAGGGGAGAGAGGGGCAGCACAGGGACAGTGTTCATGTACATGTGCATGTACATGAATAGGTGAGGGTGTGCACATATGCATGCTGAACGTACTGTATTGTGTACACGTATGTGTGTGTTTTCACCACATGTATACATGAACACATGGGTGTTCATGTGTATGCGCACACATGTATGTGCCTGTATGTGTGAATGTGCCCATGTGTGTTGCACGGTGCATATGTTGGCATATGTGGTGTGCATGCTTAGACGGGGGCTGGGAGGAGAACTGTCTTACCCAGGAGTCTGGGACTTACATGCCCTTTGTGGCTGGAGGGTGCTGTGGGTGAGAAGTGCCCAACCTGGGGTGGCTCTTGCCCAGCCTTCCTCTGAGTGCTTCTCCTCTGTGTCTCCTTTGCTCTGGGGCACCCAAACTCTCAGTGCCATGTCCTGGGCTTGAGCAGACAGGGAAGGGTACCTGACCCACAGCAGTGCCCAGAGAGGGTGACACGCAGGAACTGGCCTGGAGGTGGCACAGTGTCTTCAGAGCCTGCAGAGTAAGTTGGGCTGCTTCAGGAGTCAGAAACACCCTATTTAAAGTCCTATTTTTTTTTAAAGACTTAATTTTTTAGAGCAGTTTTAGGTTCATAGCAAAATTGAGAGGAAGGTACAGGGATTTATCATATAGCTCCCACCCCACACATGAATAATGTCCCCCATCACCAACATGAGAATGGTACAGTTTTTACAGCTGATGAACCTATTTTTGGCACACTAAAATCACCCAGAGTCCATAGTTTACCTTACGGTTCACTGTCGGTGTTGCACATTCCATGGGCCTGGACAAATGGGCAATGGCATGCATCCACTGTGGACTCACTCAGGGAGGGTTCACTGCCCTAAATTCTCTGTGCCCCACCTGTTTGTCTCCCCTGCAACCACGGATCTTTATGTCGTCTCCACAGTCTGGGCTGTTCCAGGGTGTTGTGGGGCTGGCATCGCACAGTGCGTGGCTTCCCAGATGGGCTTCCTTCACTTAGTGTTGTGCATGTAAGCTTCCTCCACGTCTCTTCCTGGCCTGATGGCTCATTTCTTTTCAGTGCTGAATAATATTCCATTGTCTGGATGTGCCACAGTTTATTGACCCATTTGCCTATTCACCTGCTAAAGGACACCTTGGTTTCTTCCATGTTTTGGCAATTATGAGTAAAGCTGCTATAAACATCCGTGTGCAGGTTTTTGTGTGGATACAAGTTTTCAGCTCCTTTGGGTAAAAACCAAGGGGTGTGATTGCTGGATTGTATGGTAAGAGGCTGTTGACTTTTGTAAGAAACCGCTGACCTGCCTTCCAGCGTGGCTGCGCCTCTTGCACTGGCCCAGCCCGGGTGAGAGCTCCTACCACCCCGCGTCCTTGCCAGCAAGTGGTGTTGTCAGGATTTGGGATTTTGGCCAGGCTGATAGCGCGCAGTGTGTCCCTGCTGTTTGCTTTGCATTTCCCTGATGATGGGACGTGGAGCATGTTTTCATGTGCTTGTTTGTCACCTCTATGTCTTCTCTTCTTCTCTGGTGAGGCGTCTGTTAGGGTGTTCAGCCTGGTTTTTAACTGGGTTGTCTGCTTTCTTATTGTTGAGTGTTATTCTGGAAGCAGTCCTGTGTCAGACATGTGTTTGGCAAGTTTTTTCTCCTCTCTGTGGCTGGTCATTTTGACCTGCTCTGCTTTTCACCAGCTCTGTGGCTTTGAAAAGGCCACTTAGATCCTCTGAGCCTGGGTGTCCTCCTGCATAGAGTAGGCATCAAAATAGCATTTTTGGAATCTTAAATGAGATAAAATTCATGTAAAAAGCTTGGCACAGATATCTGCCATCATTGCTAAGGCCTCTTATACTTATTTTTAATCCTACACTAATAGGCAGGACTAAACCCCAGATTCCCTTATAGCAGCTTAACTGACACAGAATATTATCATTGGCTATCACCATCACCACAGTGGCCGTTGTCATAACTGCTGCCATCGCCACTATAGCAACTATTAATTATTCAGCAAATATTTATCACGTGCCTACAGTCCCCCAGCCCTGTTCTAGGTGTTTGGACATAATCAAACCCCATTAGCACACCACCCATTCCTGTCAGTATTTCCTATCTTGATCGCTAGATGGCAGTGCGGACTGGGAAGGCCTCTAAGTGCTCCTGCGGAGTCAGAGCCCTTGAAAACCTCTGGCAGCAAGGCCCAGGTTGTCAACGTGGCCATCTGGGCCAGATTTTAGTCCATGACGGGCTTTCGAGGACCTGACAGGGAGGAGGGGGTTCTTCCCCTTATGGTTCTTATCTCTTTGCCTCCATTCAAGGCCAGGTGTGTCAGCCTCCCCAAGCAACCAACTTTTCCAAAGAGACCAGTCTTTAGGTTTGAACAAGGGTCTCAGAGTGGGTGCCCCTCATGGTGGCCAACAGGAAGGTCCCCTTGCCCTTTGCTGCCAGGTCTAGCCAGGGCGGCCAGAAGAAGCCTTCCTCCTTCTTTCCTCAGACACACCAAGATGAAGACAGCCACCAACATCTACATCTTTAACCTGGCCCTGGCAGACACTTTGGTGCTGCTGACCCTGCCCTTCCAGGGCACAGATGTCCTCCTGGGCTTCTGGCCATTCGGGAACGCCCTGTGCAAGGCGGTCATCGCCATCGACTATTACAACATGTTCACCAGCACCTTCACCCTGACTGCCATGAGCGTGGATCGCTATGTGGCCATCTGCCACCCCATCCGCGCCCTGGACGTCCGGACATCCAGCAAGGCCCAGGCTGTCAACGTGGCCATCTGGGCGCTGGCCTCCCTTGTTGGCGTTCCTGTTGCCGTCATGGGGTCGGCACAGATCGAGGATGAAGGTCAGTAGGGTGGCCCTCCTCCGCAGCGCCATTCTCCCCGCAGGCCCCTCCCTTCCCACCTGCACTGACCCCGCTTCTCTCCCTGCAGAGATTGAGTGTCTGGTGGAGATCCCCACCCCACAAGACTACTGGGGTCCTGTTTTTGCTGTCTGCATCTTCCTCTTCTCCTTCATCATCCCCGTGCTGATCATCTCTGTCTGCTATAGCCTCATGATCCGGCGGCTGCGTGGCGTTCGCCTGCTCTCCGGCTCCCGCGAGAAGGACCGGAACCTGCGGCGCATCACACGGCTAGTGCTGGTGGTGGTGGCCGTGTTTGTGGGCTGCTGGGCACCTGTCCAGGTCTTTGTGCTGGTTCAGGGGCTGGGCGTCCAGCCGGGCAGTGAGGCTGCTGTGGCCATGCTGCGCTTCTGCACAGCCCTTGGTTATGTAAACAGCTGCCTCAACCCCATCCTCTATGCCTTCCTGGATGAGAACTTCAAGGCCTGCTTCCGGAAGTTCTGTTGCACACCCACCCTGCGCCGGGAGATGCAGGTGTCTGGCCGTGTGCGCAGCATTGCCAAGGATGTGGCTCTTGCCTGCAAGACCTCTGAGACAGTGCCACGGCCTGCATGACTAGGCGTAGACCTGCCCATGGTGCCCGTCAGCCCGCAGAGCCCCACACCCAACACGGAGCTCACCCAGGTCACTGCTCTTTAGGCTGACATGCAACCTGAGCCCCGAGTGTCACCAGCCTCGTTGCCTTCTCTGGGGCCCCACAGGGCTCAGTGACATCACGGGACAGGTCAGAGCGTCAGGGCTGCTCCCATGGGGCCGGTCAGATTAAAGCTGTCTTCCTGATGCGGGATGGGGAGGGGCACAAGGACTCACTAGTGAGCATGCCCGGCCAGAGCCCACCAACATGCCCCAGCTTCATGGGACACTTCTGGCCTCTCCCTGCTGCACCTTGCGTGCTCTGGGTGGGCACTTGCCTGGAGGTATAACAGCAGCATATACGCTGTGCTGGGTGCTGTCGGCACAGAGCCCCGAAGCCTCTGCTCTGAGCAGCTGGAAGAGCCTAGTGCTGCCTGGGTGCCAGCAGGCATCTCTGGGCAGTGGGACTTTTGCCTGTGCCTCATGCTGCCCCCTATCCTCGTCCCCCACCCATGCTTCCCTTCAGAGTCTTCTCAGCAAACCTCTTCCAACAGCCGCAAACGTGGCTGCCCAGGTATGGGAAGGTGGTTCATACCTGGGGGGCTCGGGATGGAGCCTGTGTGACCACTGAGGGCCACTCCATCATTCTCCAAGTGGCCCTACGTGCCTAGTCTTGGCCGTTCAGTCCTGGGGGGCTCTGTGCTCTGTCTGGCGGTCCCGTGCCCCCCTCGGGCTCTCCCTCTCACTTTTCCTTTCCTTGAAATCAGAGGCCAGAAGCTATGCAGTCGGCAAGACTCTGTGCCCTGTTTGGACCCTGTGGCTTTGGAAGGGTGGCAGTGAGGACAGGTTCTGCCCTGCACCCCTAGTGACTGACACCCAGCTTCATCACAAGCCTCTCGATGTCTGCGGGAGGCCTGACCTCCCTGCTGCCTGGACTTGTCTTAAATGGTGCCAGTCGGGAGATGGTTTCACGTGGGCACTGGTGTGCGGAGTGAGGTTTGGCAGGGCCTTCTGCGAGGACTGGGCCGCACACACTTCGGGTGCGAGTCCCTGCTGTGGCCGCCAGGGAAGCACCTGCCCTGGCCACAGATGGAACCTGCAGGCTGCTGAGTTTGCAGATGGATGCCTGGGAACCTGCAACACTGAAGATCGTGGTGCCTCCACCTGTAAGCTCAGGCCGCGGCCAGGCGACCTAAGTCACTGGCAGCAAATAGGAGGTGCTGACTTGGGCTGGCTTCTCCTGCTTCGGGGAGCCTGGCCCTGTGGGGTTGTTCCTGAGACAGCTGTCTTATGCTTCCTGCGGTTGGAGGCTTTGCCAGGGCAGCAAGAGCTGCTGTGTTTTCTTGCCAAAACTGAGAGATTTGTGAATTTGTGCTGTTACAACACGTATCTTTATGTATTTATGCATGTGACAAGTGTGAGATCCCCTGCACGTGACCAGCCCTGATCCTGTCTCCAGGGGTCACAACGGAGGGCCATAATAAACCCCTGCCTGCTGACCAGGGTGCATCCCTCGTAACAGGCGTTTCTGACCCCTGTGGGTGGGGCTGCTGGGGTGACTTCTCTGGGATCAGCCTGTGGGGGTGGGCTGGTGAGTCCCCCCCATCTGCTCTGTGCTCCTCACATGGTGGGACTTGGCCCATAGTGGAGGGTCCCCCCGAGAGGCTGCAAGTTTGGGGGCTGAGGGGCTCCTACCTTTTCTTCAGCACGAATAGTTTCTCCCTAGACATCCCACTGCTACAGTGCCCTCCTGACCCCTGCAGCAAGAGGCCCTCTGTAGATCGGGTGGGGGGGGCGCCCTTCCCACAGGCTCATAGGTCTTCTCCGCACCGTCTGGCAGACCTCCCTGTCCTAGCCTTTCCCCTCCCTTGGGCGGGTCCAAACGGAGCTTTGATAACGATGGACAGAACGGCGTCCCCTGGAGGCCCTGAGATGCACATGGGCCTCTGGCTTCTGTGCGGCCCGTTCCTACCCAGGGCGACTTTCCAGAGACTGGGTGTTCGGAGGGGGCAGGGAACGGGCAGATGGGCCAATGGGTAGTTTTACACAGGTTTTAATGATGAGCACTTTGCTGTTAAAGTATAGCATTAAAGGAAAGTTTGGGAGGGATGGGTCACAGCGGCAGCATTGTGAGAGGCGCTGCATCTCTGGGGTCTGGGCAGAGGCCGAGCCCACGCTGGGCTCCTGAGCGCAGGGGACCCACCAGGCGCCTCCCCTGCAGCCCCACCCCCAGGCCTCGCCACCCTCCTGAGACCTAAACCCCCACCTCCAGGCCTGCGCCATTCTCGCCTCTGTCCCGGCCAGGCACTGTTCGAGGCTCAGGCTTCCTCCCTTGCGCAAAAGGACCGGCTAAGCCTTCCTGGCCAGGCTGCTGGGAAAGGCCGGGGCGTGGGGAGGGGTCAGCAGTCCCGTTTGACCTTAGGGGAGCAGTGGACACAGCTGCCACTGTGGACTGTACCGCCCCCACATGATCTCCAGGTCTGGTCAATGGCAGTGACATTTGGGAAGCTGAAGGGAAGGGCCGGATTCTCCTTGGGACCAGGATCCCAGAGCTTGGGCTTCCTCCCTCCCTGTACGCCTCCCCACCTTTGTAGGTCAAGGTGGAGGGTGGGGAGACAACCAGTGTCCTTCGGGGGTATGCATTTCCGGGGCCCAGGGACTGCTTGGGCAGCATCTCGGTGAGGGTTCCTGCTCCCATCTTGGCTGGCCTCTGGCTCCCTGGTTCTTGAGGCTTGTGGGTCCTGGGTGAGGACCCTCCTGGCCATTGGATGGGGGGTGGGCGGGGCCTGTGCACAGCGGGGCTGTGGTGCATGTGACTTGTTCACCACCATGGTGTTCCCAGTGTCACTCGCGTTGCTGGCTGTGGATGGGGGCAGCAGCCGCACCAGGGAATAAAGGGTCTGGGGCTTCTGGGACCCTTGACTCACACCCTCTGTGATGTGGAGGTGTTCTGAGGGGCCAGGGGCAAACTGGGGGCAGGGCGGGAGGTTCCAGCACCTCCGCTGGGCGCCACCCCCCACTCCCTGCCGGCTCTCTGTCACTGACACCTCACCCTGCTGTGCGCTTGGGTCCCCACTTCGTGAGGAGCTGAGGGCGGCTGAGCCGCAACTGCGCTTCTGCTCCCAGAGGTGTGAGTGTGGCGGGAGGCAGCGGGGGGCAGCCGGTCTCCCCGGGGCAGGGGTGAGTGGCGTAAGGGCGCGCACAGCCCCAGCGTGGTGGCCTAGGGACTGGCCTCCAGGGCAGACGAGGAGGGAGGTCTTTCCTAGGTCGAGGCTTCCTCCTGGAGCTCCGGGACGGTCACCCTGCGGCCCTGTGGAGAGACCCTGCCTGTGCCCCTCTCCCTGTGCAGCTTAGGTGGCCGGGACCACTTGACACCTGAGCCAAAGCCCCCCAGAAGCTGCTCCAAATTTCTGTCCCACAAGAGCGTGAAATAACAAATGTTTACTGTTCAAAGCGGTTAATTTTGGGGAAATTTGTTGTACAGCAATAGATCACTAATACAGTGCTGTTGGGGACAATAACAGGACTGGGGTGGCATCTGAGTTGCTTCTGGCTGAGAGAGAGGGGGGAGTGGAGCGGGCCTGAGCTCTTCCGGGCGCAGACAGGTGAGAACCGATGTGGCCGGGGACACTGGAGTATGAGGGGTGGGGAGGTGGTCGTGCGCCCGGGGACCACTGGGCAGACTGGTCAGGACTCTGCCAGGAGGACTGAAACCAGGGACCCTGAGCTGAGAAAGGGTTCTGGGAGGTGCCTGCCGGAGGCCCACTGGGGTGCTCTTCAGAGACCTGCTTCTCCCCTCCCCCAGCAGAAATCAGTCTCTGACCAGCTGTCACCTCAGTGTCCCCACGCCACCAGAGAGGCTTAGGGTGGGGTCCACTGGCTGAGTCTAGGCCCCAGGCCACACCCTGGAGGAGAAGCAGTCCAGATGCCAGCTGTTCAGGTGATGGATGCCCCCTCTAGACTGGAGGCATCCAGAGGTACTGGCAGAAGGGCCCTGGGTGCCACAGCAGGACATGAGGGGCCACGGGCTGTGGCGTGGAGCGCACAAAGGGGTGTGGGCGACGTGGCACCCAGGGGCTTGAGGGGCCCTGAGCCACAGGATGGGGGTTGACGGGGGGGTGCAAAAGTGCGCGGGGTTCCTGGTGAGATGCCGCCAGGGTGTCAGGCTGGGAGTGTGCTTTGCTGCCTTGTTCGGTTTCTGCAGTGACACCTGGCTTTGTTACCCCAGGTGTCCAAGTTTCGTTACCTCCCAACACTGTCTTGGCACGCTGGTCCTCAGAAGAGATTGCAGTTGGGGTTTCCCTCTCTGCAGACCGCATTGTCAGGGAGGATGAGGAAGGAACATCCAGGGAGTGTGTCCGTGTTCCCGCAGGTAAGTAAGGGTCACGTCAGTTGTGTGGGGATGTGTGGCTGGGTGGGCCCTGAACCTGCATCCTGACAGCTGCCTGTGCAGAGGCTGTCCAGGAGGTGGCCAGCCCTGGTGGGCCTTTATCTCTCTGTGTGGGAGAAGTAGTGAGGGTATGTGGATAAGTGGGCTGTTCCTTGAAGGGACAGTGCTTTTCCTGAGGCATACGGGGCCCTGGGGGGAGTGGTACTCAGGCATCCCGGCACTGGAGCGTGCTGCAGGAGTTCCTGCGGAAGCTGCTGTCCAGGACGGCGTAGAGGAAAGGGTTGAGGCAGGACCTGGCATAGCTGAGGCTGGTGATGATGTGGGAGATGCCAATAACCAGTGATGCCTGGGGCAGGTCTGTGGCCAGGGCCACAACGGAGGCCAGGTGGGCAGAGCAGTCCCACAGCCAGCACAGCCAGGCCAAGGTGGTCACCCTCTGCTTGGCCTTGTCCAGAGCCCTGGCTCTGGAGCAGACCTGCAGGGCCCAAAGCTGGTGCGGAAGGTCCCCGCAGAGGACGCAAAGAGTGCACATGGGCACCACAAAGCCCAGGACTGGCACGTAGATGCACTGGCCTGGAACCAGGCATGCTCAGGCTGTGGGAAGCTCAGCCGGCAGTCAGCGACCTTCAGCTCATTGCTGTAGACACCTGCAAAGGCGAGGGGGAGCGGCACCAGTAGAGAGTGGTGGTGTGCCCGGTGCCACTGCCCCAAGAGAAGCTTGTGCCTGCCTGCAGCAGCCAGGAAGGAGTCGCCTCTGCTGTTGGGGGGGCTCCAGCTCAGATGCCTGCATCATGAGGTGGGACTGAAAATGGTCCTTGTTCTGGACAGGTGGGAGGTGCCTCGGGGTTGGGGGCCTGGACAGCGGAGGCCTCCTTGGGCTGGACTCTAAGAAAGAAAACTCAGAAACCTTGGAATCTGGCTGTCAGCTTCGAACAGCCGCTGTCTCAAGTTCTCTGGCCAAGGTCGTGGCCACTTTACCAGGGTCAAGTACACATGGGATTTCTTTCTACCCACCCCATCCAGTGGCCAAAGAGTCTGGTGGGATGTACAAGGGCCTCCTCCTGGGCAGCAGTTTTGGCTGGGCAGTTTTCTTTCCCAAGCACCCCATGTCCTGCAGAGAGCAGTTGCTGACCACTTTTCTGGGGAGATCTGTCCACCTCAGCCCCTGTCCTGGCCAACATACAAATCTGCTCTAGGCAGCTCCTTTGCAGACGGACCTCCCAGGCATATACCCGACTCCTTTGAACCCACAAGTCCTGCAGCCAGTGCCCTCCCAGTCACACTGCAGCTTCTGCACGACCACCTGCTCTTCTCCCCACTTACCTGTCCATTGACACGTGGTCAGAGCTGGTACCCTTGGTGGGTGTGTGGTGGCGGCTGGCTTGACAGTAGCAGGGATGGAGTGAGCAGGGGTGGCGACCTGGATAGGCCCCACATAGGGTCCCTTCGGCTCTCAACCTTCTGAGGGGCTGTCAGGACCTGAGCTCTAGCGGCCTCAGCTGGAGCTGGCTTCCCAGCAGGGTCTTCAGCCTGGAGGCAGCACAAAGGCTCTGAGGGAAGGAGGCGGTCCCAGGGGCTGACGCAGCCCCCACGGCCCCCACTCACTTGGCTGCTCCCCTGTGAGCGGCCCTGTGTGTGTGCGTGTCTGTGCACATGTGTGCCTGTGTGTTGGGAGGGCACATGGTGCAGACACATCTGGACATGCCCAGGCCTGTGGGCATTGGGCGGGACCAGGGTCTTTGAGCACCATCCATGGGTCTCTATGGGCCCGGGCACACTTATCTACATGTGCATGCGTGTGTACGTGGGTGTGCACCTGTTCTGTCCGTATGGGGTTTCTGAGGTGAGCTCTGTGGGTCTGTATAGGACCCTGGCTGGGAGTGGTGGTTTGGGGAGTCTGCATGCCTTCTTGTGGAAGCAGAATTTGTTGCTCACAGATAACCCAGTTTCTTTCTTTTTTTCTCTCTCAGAAGGAACATGTGCATATGCAACAATCACAGGAGGTGGAAGGCTGCAGAGGGAAAGGAGGTCGTCTGGAGCCTGGCTCCTGGTCCCTCCCTGAACTCCCCGTCAAGAGCCACTCTCAGAGGACTCTGCCCAGGTGGGGAGAACTGTGTGCTGTTCTGCACAGAATCTCTTGCCCACATCCACTTTTCCTGCTGGGCCAGATGCACCCTGGCTTATCGGACCCCCACTTGCAGACAGCTGGGCTGTGTCTGGCTGCTTTTGCAGCTCTGAAGCTAGCAATGATGCCTGCTGCCGTCTCTGCGTGTCCTCACATGGGCTTCTGGGTCAGGGGTCTGTGTGTTTCCAGCCTGGGAGATGTGGCTGCCCACTGTCCGCAGGGTTTGGGGGCTGTCACCCCACCCTGAAAGGCTGGTTTCTTTCACCGGGGCTGTCGTCCTTGTGGCCCAGGTCAGAACTGGAGCCTGGGCATTGGTCCGAGCACCCTGAAGTCACCAGGCCTGAGGCTGCACCCAGTGGGCTCAAACTGGGCATGGCAGGGTGCAGGGCCCCTGCTGGTCCTGGGAGGCCTGAAGACCACAAGCCCTTTCCCAGGGGCTGCAGCCCTCCCACCAAGGCAGAGGCTTCATCCAGCAGGCTAGGACCCACCCCACTCCCTTGGTAGCCCCCAGGGCTCCTGCCTCCAAGTGGACTTTACTCACCCCCTGCAGGGATATTCAGGCACTAATTTCTGGTGTGTGTGGGTTGCTGTAGCCAGAACTTACCTGGGGACAATTCACTGTCCCACACAAAAACACTCAGACTTCATGGATCTGGATGAGAGAGTGTCTTTGGGATGTGGAGTGCAAGTGTCCTGATGGCACCCTTGCCTCCATGACTGGCCTGGGCCTGGGAGGGAGGGCGCTGCCCTTCGCTGTGGGTGGGATAGGCTTTGGACCAGGTCTCTGGTGTGTCCCAGGCTGAGACCCAGGGAATGGGTAGTCAGTGACTCAGAGGGAATGCCACATGAGTGGTTCCTTCCCTGAATCAGGGGCTAAATTTTGCACTTTGGGGGTGTTTGTGGGTGGGGGGAGGTGCCAGGTTAGCTCACAGCATCTGGACACCAGAGGCAGAACAGAGAGGGTCAGGCCTGGTGTTTGGGGCCCTTGCCTCTGCAGTCTGCATGCTGGCAGGAACATGGGCGGGTCTGGGGTGGGAATGGCTGACAGCCCCCTCCAGGCCAGGTGGGAATGGCCCGGGCCTCCTGTCACTCAGCTGCTGTCCTTGGGGTGGGGCAGGGCTGGCCGCTGGGGGCCGAAATGTGGGCTTCCCTGGGGAGGGTGCCTGGGGTCCCCAACCCCTGCACGTCTTGGGAGGGGCTCAGGCTCTGCCCATGGGCCAGCATGTAGCTGACAGGGCTCCTCTCTAGCCCTGAGCACAGCGCCTGGCACAGGGCCCTTCACTGGAGGCCCCACCTCGGATGGGACTCTCGTGCCCCTGTAGCTCTTTGCCCTAGCTTGGCAGGACACCAGGTACCACCCCAGACCTTCTCCAGGGCTGGTTGTTCCAGGCAGGTCTTCCCTGAAGTCCCCAGAGCAGGAGTGGCTCCGTGTGAGCTCAGAAATCCCCCCACAGGGTTTCCTCAATGCTTCGGGCTTCCTCCGAGGTGCCTGTGAATCTGCAGTCCCCCTGCACCCAGTGTCTGGCTGGGTGCAGAACTCTGAGCCCCACCCCAACTCGCCCTCTGCTCCCCTGAGCGTCCTGGGGACTGGCTTGGGTACCCCCAGCCTATCGCATCTGGAGTCAGTTGAGCGTAGAAGATGGGGGAGGCACAGGGGCAAGAGGGACGCCGTGAGGGGCACCAGGTGTGGGTGATCAGCTCACGGGCACGTTTGGATGAATGGGCTCAGGGCCCTGGGGAACCAGCTCCAGGCCTGCTGGTTCGGGGACCCCCCCTAGGTGCTCCTCTCCCGGAAGCATGTCATCCATGGCCATGCTGCAGCACCGAGGCCCCGCGTGGGGGACGCCCCAGCCTTCGCTCCCCCGGCCCTCAGAGCTCTGCAGGTGGCTTTGTTCTACCCCTGGGCCGGGCACTGTATGAGTGTCATTCCGGGGAAATGAGTTCATTTTCAGAAATCCAACTGGGTGTTTCACATTAGCCTCTGAGGCACTTCCGGGCTGTGGAGAGGAGAGGAGGGGCCTTGGGAGAGGGAGGGGTCTTCACCTGGCATCCCGGGTTGCGGTTGGTGTGTCTGGACAGCGTGAGCCTGCGTGGCGGTGAGTGTGCAGCTGTTCACATGGGGAGAACGCCATGCAAACCCAGCCCTGCCTGGGCCCCCCATGGCAGGGGCACAGGCCCCGGTGCTGCCCAGCATGGAGCCTGGGAGCTGAGAGCTCAGGGGTGCCGGCTTCACCCTCCATTTCACTCGGTGTGGGAGTCCCCTTCCGCTTGTCCCTGAGTACTCCCGGTGACTTGGGTCTTGACACATACGTGCATACACAGCAGACACACACACTTGCAGAGACACGTGTGCATACCCACAGGTGTGGAGCGCTTACACGCTCACCTGTGCCCTCTGAGTTCTGCTGGGTCAGCTCCATCCAGGCAGGCCTGTCTGCTCTCCTGCCCCCCACCCTCCCCTGGCTCATGAGGACAAGGGTGGCCATCTGTGGCTCATGGCCCTGCAGGGCGAGCGCTCTGAGAGCACCCGGCCCCAGCTGCCTCTCCGCAGGTAGTTGGGTTGGGAGCCGTAGCTCACTGGAAAGACAGGTGATTCCAGCTTTTCCCCAGGATGGAGCCGGGTCACATGCTTCCCCAGGTGTCCATCAGGCTCCCCGCCCTGCCACTGGGGGCCCAGCGGCCTCTCTCCTCCAGCACCCCGTGGGCACCCAGCTCTCCCCAGCGGGAGGTCACAGCCTAGGACTTCCTGATGGTTCTTGTCCAGGCTGTGCCAGGCAGGGGGCCTTTGCTCAGCCAACACCCACATATCCAACCCTAGGCCCAGAGGCATTCACCCACTTCACAAGTGTGTGACCAGGAACATAGCAGCGAGCAGAGGTAAGCAGTTCTGCTCCAGGGCTGACCCTGTAGTGGGAAGGCGGTGAGCAAAATAATGAAGCGCCCAGGGCACTGTAATGCATGGTCTGATGCCATCTTCCAGGTGGTCCTGCTGAGAAGGCACCTTGTGCTGAAACCCCAAGCAGGTGGGATAGGCCTTGCAGGTGTGTGTGGGGCAAAGGGCCGTGGGGAAGGTGGTGCCGGGCTTTGCCTGCCTGTGAGTTGGAGGAAGTGAGGCTGGGCCTGCCAGGGCCTCAGGCCAAGAGTCTGTGGGGTGAGGTGTCGGGGAAGCAGTGTTGGAGTGAGGTGAGGAGGCTGGGAGAGGGGCCTCTGCAGGGGTCCTGCCCTGGGGGTCTGGAAGGGCAGAGAGGTAGGGGCAGAACTCTGTACACTGTCCGCATCGACCCTGTCCAAGGCCTTTGGGAGGAGGGGCTTTGAGGGCAACCGGGGCTGGGCTAGAGGCTGGCTGCTCTCAGGGTCCCACCGCGCACACTCCCCTCACCCCTCAGGGCACGCCGAGCAGCTGCCAGTGTGGCAAATGCCAGGCCAGGCGTGTGGTTTGCCCAGGTGGCCAGGCCCTGCTCAGCCTGGGTGGGTGGGGGGTGGGGGGGGAGGATTGAGTCAATTACCAGATAATTTACTGTCTCCCCTCCCACAGGAACTTGGGTCTGAGTTGGGGGAGTAAAGTGGGGCAGGGGCAGGGGCAGCCATGGGGCCCCGGTGGCGGCCACCAACCCTCCTTCCTGCCCAGGATCCTGCCACCAAGAACAGGCTCTTCTGAGTGGAGGGGCCTCACTGCAGGCTGTCCCTGCCCCTCTGGGGGCGTGTCTCCCCGTGGGCTCGGAGCACAGGGAGTGTGTGCAGCAGCAGCAGGAGCCGGGCTGAGAGGGCTCTTCCTGTCCCCTGGGCGGGGTCCCCTGAGGTCACGCAGCATGAAGTGGGCAGAGAGGAGGCAAGTGCCTGGATGTCCCAAGCGGGAGGGGCCACGGGCATGTCCATGTATGTGAACATGCCTGTGAGCGGCGGGAGTCTGTGTGCACCTTGACACCTACATGCCTGGGACAGCAGAGCGCCCGGGCCAGAGACGGACCCAGGGAGAACCTCCTGTGAGCTCGGCCTCCTGCTCAGTCCAGGAATTCTTAGCGAAGGTCAGCGCACAGGCTAGTCGATGCTCAAACCAACTCCTCAGAGTCATGACTCGGATAAAGAGGGCTGCCTGGTGGTGACCCTGGAGGCGGGCAGCACTGTCTCTCCCCAGGAGGCTTTGCCCACAGAGCTTGGCTGGCTTCTTGGCCTGGGGAGCAGGGCAGCCAGCTTCCTCTACAGGCCAGGCTGGTTCTGGGGTGCTCCTGGGGCTGGACTGCTGACCTCGGACCAGGCTCTGTCTGTGGGCAGACATAGCAGGGGTGGGAAGTTTGGGGGAGGAAGGTCAGGCTGAGGTGGCCCTCCCACCTCCCGGAGCCCCCAGCCTGGGGACTCCTGGACAGGGGACGATAGACCGAAGTGAGATGGTCAGGACAGAATGATGGACCCTGCCTGGCAAGGGGCCTCTGGCCTTGATTCTTCCCTCTCCCCACTTTCTTGCACCAACCCCAAGCTCAGAGAATGGAGCCTGACTTGAGCTGTGGCAACTTTGGCCACCCTGGTGCCCCAGCCTGTGTGCACACATGCCCTCTCACGTGTGCACACAGGTCTCTGTGCTTATGTCCTCCTCCCCAACATTTGCAAGGACTTCTGCCTCATTCTAGGTCATGCACAGTCGTGTCCCGCCTGCCATGTCTTTGACTCAGGTGGTGGGTGGGGGTGTCTGGGCTGCTCACTGAGAGACTGGGCCTCAGCAGGGGAAGTCTGGGCACTGGAGAGGGGCTGTCAGTGACAGGGGCAGGTGGCCAGGGCAGGTACGGAGCCCTGTGGCCACATGCTTGCTGCCCATCTCTGTTGCACAGGTATCGGTGAACGTGTGTATGTTTCAGGCCCTGCTTTCACAGTGTCTTGTCACACGTCGTGTTCACATGTCCCGCGGTGTTTGCTGACACGAGCACACACATGTTCATTCCCCATCTCAGGTCTGCACGTGCCAGCGGCACAAGTTCCTGCTC